ATTATAGTGAAAATGTAAAGGTGCTAAGTGTATTGAACCCAAGTTTCATAATGATCCTTGGTCCCTGCTTGATTTGAGCTTGCTAGGATAGGAGTTGAAAGCCATGTGCTTGATTTGCGCCTGCTACGAGCTCAAGCGCATGAGATATCCTAGAAACAGTGCTTGACAGGAAGGAGCTCGAGCGCCTGAGATGTTGGGGCTAGCACTCAACAAGTGCTCAACTTGGGCTTGACCGCCTGATATGGGCTTGGCATTACTTAACATGCGCATGACCTAGGCTTAACATAGCAAGGAAGGAACAAAACATGCATACAACACTTAGGCAAATCTCATAAGCACAAAACAAGACAGGCACCTTTACTTAGGCAAAACAAGTCAAAGTCTGCAAATGCAAGCTTAACAAGACAAAATCACGCAATGTACATGAACATGACTAAGACATGAACGTGGGTTATTACATACTTCCCCCCTTAAAGAAGTTTGGTCCCCAAACTTCACTTACCTTGTTCCAAAACGACTCCCGATGTCGAGTTCTTATCTCTTCTTATCATCCTTAGCCTTTACCTTGGGACAATCCTTAATACGATGACCCATCTCACCACATTCAAAGCAAGCCCCCGATGCCCAGTGACAAACTCCAAAATGTCGTTTCTGGCAACTTGTACATGTCGGCCTGGCGCCACCTTCCCGATTTGTGTTATTGGAATTGTCCACATTCGTCTTCTTCTCGGCATTATGCTGGTCTTGGCGATTGTCATAGGTCTGCCTCTTTTTCTGATTCTCCCCTAAACTCTGACTTCTGTTCAAGTTGGCTTCTGCAAGGATGGCTTTATCTAACACTCCAGCATACGTCGGCATGTTAAGCAAATTAACCCGGTCTTGAATTGGCCCTCGAAGTCCACTCTCAAACTTGCGAGCTTTCCTGTATGTAATACATCCGAGAAAATACATCCGAGACCCACTGCATGTAATAGATTATCCGGAGTTGTAGTTAATGAAGACTTGGGCTACGAAGAGAAGCCGATGAGAATTATCGACAGACAAGTAAGGCAGCTGAGGAACAAGTCGATATCAATGGTGAAAATCGAATGGGAGAGACATTATGGAGAGGAGGCCACATGGGAAAAGGAAGAGGAGATGAAAATCCGTTACCCGGAGTTATTCGTAGAACAAGGTAACTTAAGTTTGGGGACCAAACTTCCTTAAGGAGGGTAGACTGTAGGAACCCATATTTTATGTTCTCATCATGTTCATGAGCATCTGTGCGATTATGACTTGTTTAGCTTGCATGTGTATGTTGTGATTTGTTTCGCTTGAGTTAATGTGATCCATGCCTTGTTTTGAAGCCTTGTGATTTGTCTAAGTGTAGTATGCTTGCCTTGTTCCTTCCTTGATGTGAAACTTAGGTCACGCCTTGCCCGAGTTATACTAGCCGAGATGTTACCTTGCACCCAAGTGATCTCGTCCTGGAGTGGTACGACCTAGGCCGAGGTGTGGCGCATCTAGGCCAAGATGTGGCATAGCTTAGTCAAGTGTTGTCCTTCCTAGCCGAGGTCATTGTCACCCTAGTTGCCGAAGTCCTTGGTTAGCTGATGTCACCCCTTGCCGGAGTGCCATTCCATGTAGCGTGTTAGATACGCCTTGTTATCAGCCGATGTCATTGCCCCGTCAGAGAGCCCATACCGCTTTGCTTGTTGAACACCCTTCCACCATGCTTTGTCTGGTCTGTCAGCCACCTTTTCAAGATGAACCTAACCAGTCGCCGCCACGTGTCTCAGCAGAGGGTTAACCCCAGAACCGGGTATAGAAAACTATCATTTGGTGTCATAACCTTGTCTTGTAGAGAGAGAAGCTCTAGGAGGAAGAAAGAGTTTTAGAGTGAGGAAGTAGATCTTCAAGTTTGATTCATAGAGATCCGACCGTTAGATCCGCGTTCTAAGGTTAGATTCTTGATCCGCTCATGATGTTCTTTATATTTATGTTATTGCATTGCATGATTGAAAATGATTTGTAAGCCATGCATCATTTTGAAGCTCGATTTTAGAAAGAGAAAATGACATTCATGTGTTCTTCAAGAAAAGTCTTGTTTTGATCCGAAAGCTTGCATAAAGAATCATGTTTTTGTGTTTGTTTCCGCAAGAATTCCAAGTACGGGTACCCAGGTCCATGTTTTCAAACTCATAGCACGAAAACCCCAGATTTTGATGGCGGATTATGATCGAACGTTCATATTTTTCATGTTTCCACATTCATGCTCTTCATGTTCATCAACAGAGGGAAGCCCAGAGTTTCCCGACCTCTTTTCCTTGCATGTGGCCCTCGAGAACACGCCTCGGCGAGGGGGGGTGTGGAACCTCGGCCTAGACCTGGTTGGTGCCCAGCATGTTTTCCGAAAACATTAGTGTACATAAGAGACTTGTTTGAAAGTACGTTCAATAGGCTTTGCCGTGTGTTTGTAGGACTTGGACTTGTCTCGACCCCGACGTTTGAAGAAACTATGTGAGTGGTATTCTTGATAAAGCTATGTTACACTTGCTTTCATAAATCTCGTCTTGCCTTGTTTTGAAAAGTATTTGATCTAGCATGAATGACTATCCCTACTTGTATATTAAACACTATCTTGTTTTGATGACATGTCTTGAAAGTCCTTAGTGCTAGAGGACTATAAACTTTCGCAGCACAGCTTGTCTTGACAGTCCTAGTGCTGGAAGAGTGCATCCGGCGCTCGAGCGGAAGTTTGGACGCTCGAGCGGGAGTCTGTGAGTGACGCTCGAGCGGGGTGTTTTACGCTCGAGCGGGAGGTTGCAGGGGACTATGATGCAACTGCACTCTTGTCTTGATATGTCATCGCACTTGTAATAAACAGATGTAATAACATCCAAGGAACTTGAAAGGCCGGCAATGAACTTGTTTTTCCCTTGCTTGGAAAGTATGCTATGTATTGTTTTGAAAGAACTCTTGGATATCAATCATGCAAAACCTTTATTTCTAATATCATTCACTGAGTATCCAAGCTCACCCTCTCTATATATATGTAGGTGACGAACAAGAAGGCATTGAGGCCTAGACGTGATGCCGATGTGTTTTTGGGTGCATTACCGACATGTTTTGGATTATCATTTTGTACCGTCTTGAAGATCATGCTTCTCGGCTTGTTTTTTTCATTTGTACTTGTATACGTCGGCTTGAGAAGCCTTTTGGTCAAGATGTGTTTTGTATCTCATTTCCTTATTGTATTTGAGTTGTAAGACTTTATAAAGATGTATGTCATTTCATTGGAGTTATGCACGACTCTCATGGACTATTTAGATTCTGTAAATGCTTATATATTGCTTCCGCACTTGTAAGCCCCATATTTTATACTCTGATTGTGTGTGATTCTTGTAAGTCGGCCTTCGGTAATCTCGGATTACTGGCCATCACGGCACCAAACTACTAGGGGCGGTTTGGGGGCGTGACAATACCCCCCAACATATATCCCATACCTACATACACTCCCTTCTTGGTCAGAATGACCATTCCATACATTTAATGGTGTTACTGTAATTATTTAATATAATAACAAAAAAACGAAGTATATTTGTAAAAAAGTGGAGTGAGAATACACAATCTCCATTCATTCGGACGAGAGAAGGAATAAAACTCAATTTAGTATTAGTTAGGGCGTTTGGTAACGTTTACGTTTTCAGTTTATATTTATAAAACTTTTATAAACTGGTTTTTGTTTATTTTTTGTTATTTTTAGAGAAACATAAACTACAAACACGTTTGGTTTAGACAAAATGTTCAAAAAAATCTAAAAATATAAAAAATAGTGAGAAATGGCAAGTGGTGGTGGGTGGAGACGAGTGGTGGCGGCGGAAGACGGTGGTGGAAAATGATGGTGGGTGGTGGTGGTAATGAAACATGTCGACACAAACTAAAAGTGAGGCTTTAATAGTACTATTAATAATCTAACAGTGAATCCCGCCCAGTGCCTATGCCTTTTTTTTTTTTTTAACATTTTCAATGCATTAATGTTATTAATAATTTTTTTTAGTGATATAAATTATTGTTGTAGTAAAATCCTCATTCCGTCTTTGCTCGGTGGACACGTTGTTGGAAAATTGGCTAATGTTGCAAGCTCAACCTAATCGTGACTTGACTAATGACTAGAGAGGAGAAACTGAAACACAGAAGGGATAGCGAAAGTGCTATGCCCATTCATCTTTGTCTGAGCTTTCATTTGATCCAAAGAGAAGAGGTGGGTGGTAACGAGTGGGGGGTGGTGGTGGTGGTGGTGGCAGGTGGGTGGCGAATGGCCGGTGGCGGGAGGGTGGTGGCAGGTAGGTGGCGGGTGGTAGCGAGTGGGTGGTGGTAGTGGCAGGTGGGTGGTGAGTAGTGGTGGCAGGTGGTGGTGGGAGTAAATGGTGGGTGGTGGTGGCTAGTGTTGGGTGGTAAAAAAAAAAAAAACTGAAAATTCAAAATGGAAACACATTTTTTGTATTTTCATTTTTTTGCCCAAATTTATAAACTGAGACCACTGATTTATAAATCAAAAATTTTACCAAACAAGTTTTTATTTGAATTTTTTAAATTTTTGTAAATATAAACTGAAAATTGAAAACGTAAGTGTTGCCAAACGACACCTTAAAATTCAAAAATGAAGGGTACTTTTGAGGTTTTTTTAACTCAAATTTAAATATGAATCAATTATTGAATAATGACGGGAAGATTAGAAATCAAACCAATTGAGTCCACCCCTTTCTTTGTCCATCCAACATAAATTTTCTAGTAGATCTAACTTATATCTTACGTTGCGTGGCCTTCCAATTATTTAAGATCATCTAACTAGTTTCTCCTTCTTTTTTTTTTTCTTCATGTTTTAGGCAAAATAATTATGATGTATTATTTTGTTATACAATGGACACACAGTAATAGGCAAGACCTACTAGATAACTTTAGGTCCACCTAGATGACACTAACTGCCAATTATTGGTGTTTGGATGCAAGGATGTAACTGTCTTGAGAATCAAAGAGCAGCATTTCACCAATCTAGTCCAGGATTAGCACAGTATCTCGCACAACATATGAAATATTGTGATACATATAACATTCACTGACTATGTTTCCACAGTTCTATTATGCTTATTAATTACAGAAACAGAGATATGCTAAGTCTTCCAGATTTCATAAATCAAAACTCGTGAGAACAACATTGACCCTTCTAGCTCTGCTCTTCATCCTCCAAGTTCATCACTATACAAAGTAACAAATAATAAAAATAAGTAAAATCATAAGTTTGATGACCTATGGTGTTGTTGAATATTGGAATTACACTAGTTTGCAAGTTAAATTTTACAAGGGAAACCAACCGTGCTAAAAAAAAAGGAAACAAATGAGCACTCACCTCGGGGTAACAATTCTGATGGAGAATTGTTTGGTTGCAAATATTTACCAAAACCTCACATGATACTCTTGCCTGTCAAAAATCATAAATATAAAGTAATTAGTAGGATTAGAAAAACCGCTGTTTTCTGATTCGTGGATTTGAAAGAGATTTGAAAAGAAAAAAAAATAATGTAAGTAACGTAAATGAAATATAATTATATTTTATCTACTTTTTACATACATCTTACCTTTTTCTATCCAAATTTCTTTTTAAATTCATAAATCAAATACAACATAAGAAGGTAAGGAAAAGGAAAGAAATATAAGAATGCAACAAGTACACGCAGAATTGGTGACAGAATATCATCGGGTGTAAAAATTCACATACAAGTTTCCCTCAATCTTGACTCAAAGAAGTGCAAGATGGACAAAATGACGATGACCAATTCTGGAATGTTTTTAGTATTACATATCAAAGAGTTTGAGTTAGCTCCAAGCTCCTTTTTATTGATGTACTGTATCTCTCTTAGTATGCTATCATCAATAAAAAAAAAAAATTTGCCGATCAAAAAGAAAAAAAGAAAGAAAAAGTAATGGTGTGTGTCTACAAGATCTTCTAACAGCATATGCAATTCAAATTCAGAATTTACGGTAGAATCTTGATAAATGGTCTCCATTCAATTCTTGAGTGATTGATATAATCAATTTTAATTTGACAATTTATTGGCTTCATCATCACAAAGCTGATAGCCAAACACCATACAATTCATAATTTCTATTTCTTATATATATATATATATATTTTTCAGGACATAAGTGAGTGGGTCTTATATGTATTTATGAATGTGGACTCGTCAATTTATGTCTAATAGTAAGAAAAAAAAAGTAAAAAAAGATTATGTATAGCATTACTCATGACACAAATTTAAACCGTGGTATGTATAATGGTTGAGGATCAAATTATCCAAATGAAAGCTAGGACGCACCCTAAAAATTAAGTTGGGCACCTCAATTTAATGAAACTTTTTTATTACTATTATGTCCCCATTAAAATGACAAAAAAGTACTTAATAATGAAAAAATACAAATCAAAGTGTTTTGAACACCCCATTCAATCAAACTCTATCTTCCCTTCTCTCTTCTTACTCTTTTCATTTTCATATTTAACCATATTTTACTTGAATCCATTGTTCTTGCATTCTATTTTATATTGAAATTAACAATGAACAATGAAAAAGATGATTCTAAGCAATTTTTTATCTTTTTTTATTTTTTATATAGAGAAGTTAAGTTTTTTATTCATGTCCATCATTTTCAGCTATTGGGTTTACGAAATTTATTCAAAAATTTAATTAGTACCGAACAAATTGCATTTATTCGGAAACTTGTTTCTAAAAAAAATTCAAATATTTGGCAGTGTGTTTCCGAAATAATGGTTATTGTTTAGTATTTAATATCCAAACAATTGTCTATGTTCGGCTCTGTATTTCTAAACATTTAATTTTTTAGTTTCTTCAAATTCTAATTTTGAACAAAAAGAACTATCGTGTATTATATCCGATATTACATATATTTCAAGTTTCTATTGTTCGGGCGTTTCCGAAATAATGGTTATTGTTTAGTATTTAATATCCAAACAATTGTCTATGTTCGGCTCTGTATTTCTAAACATTTAATTTTTTAGTTTCTTCAAATTCTAATTTTGAACAAAAAGAACTATCGTGTATTATATCCGATATTACATATATTTCAAGTTTCTATTGTTCGGGCCTGAATATTTACACACATTTCATTTGTTTGAAACTAAGTATTCGAAACAATTTCATAATTTTGGAATTAAGTATTTTGGCATATTTAATTTGTTTGGTACAAAGTATCCATGTGGAATAGCTAAAACTAATTTTTTGTTATTCGAACTGAATATACGTATATATTTAATTTGTTCGACATTGAGTATCCAAATGAAAAAGTTAAACCCAATTTTTTATTATTCGGAACTGAGTATCCGAACATATTTCATTTATTCGGCACTGACTATTCGCCAAAAACTATAACACTCACTTTTTTCAAAAAATCAAAATCGCGGCACCAAGTATTCAAAGAAACTGTAAAACTTAATTTTTTTAAAGAATCCAAATTGAAAAGTTCCAAATTGATGAAATTTCCAAATACCATAAAATGATAAGGTTAGAGATGAAGAGTTGGAAATGGCGGGTTGGCGATGAGAGTGCTGGAGACCATTGTTTTAAAAATTGACTGATTAAATCATCAATCGCTCTAGGTTTTGGTCCGATTAGACCTTCAAATTTATACGAACTTGAAAAATGACCTTTTTTCAAACAACTGGAAAAATCCGAGGCTAAACTAGAAGGACCGATGCCAGTTGGAGTCAACCGGCCGAGTTTACCAAAGCTTGAAACTCAAGACTTCAAGCATAAGCATATTGTTGCTTACCATTATGCCACCAATACTCGTTGTTGCAAAATTAGTAATATAATTTATTTATTTTATTTGAATATTGTTTTCTCATATACTAATATAATTAATATTTTTACAGATAGTATCAATAAAAAAATAAATGTATAATCAAATATAATTCATAAATATATTTAATTTATATTCAATACCTATTTTTATTTAATTATATTTCTTATATATATTACATAATTATGACGTCACAGTTCGACCCGACGGTTGAAACAATGACCCATCCACCCGATTTCTTTTCCGGTTCATTTACTGGCTTGATTTTTACAACCTTGTTGGAGACAACAAGTTGGTTTGCCATGAAGGGTGAATTTGTACCTTTGTTATAATTATTAGACTAATGGAGTGTCGAAAGTAAAGTTTCTAGTGAATTATTAGGGTTTTTAGAATTTTTGGGAGTATAATTGGTATTATTTAAAATGCCTAAAAAAATAACTAAAAATTTAAATTTTCAATTAGAGTTCAAAGTAATAGAGTGCCTCACTTAATTTTTAAGGTGCATTTACCCTCCCTACGCACTATGGGTTAACATAAGCAACCTCATTTTGTTCACACAATTTGATTGCTGTAGAATAAAAATTTATCACTAAATTAATGTCCAATTTCATTGGTAAATAATAATAATAATAATAATAATAATACTTTGGCAATTAAAATATTTCTCTAAAATGTATTGTGTCTTTAATTTTTTTGTCTCTTTAATCTTAATTTGTTATAATGATAATCGTGAGTATATATAAAATGTTGAAATCATAATCATCTCCATTACATATCCAATAATCATAAATTAAGAATACAAATTTATCATTATTTCAAATTAAAAAATATATATAATTTTAATGCAAATTATATCGATATTGCTTATATTTTGTTTCTTGTGCTATTTTGGTCCATACATTTTGAAATAGCTTAATTTTGACAGTTAATTTTAGATTTTGTATTATGTTAATCCAATAACACCGTCAGTATTTTTGATAGGAAATTATCACTGAATTAATTGAAGTTAACTTATTAAGTTGAACAAGTTTATAATTTTATCTTAAAGCGCGTGACATATGTCACTCATGTACATATTTTTCATTAAAAAAATACTAACAATTGTAAACAATTGGATTAAATTGAGAAAAAATCATAAATTTAAAAATTAAAAGACCAAAATGAAATAAATTAAAATATAAATAATTTTATAATGATTCAATGATGTAATGGAGATTATCACATTCTACAAAAAGTGATAAGCAGACAGCGCAACCAAATCACGAGCAGCTTCGCAACTAGCCCTTTTCAGTACGTAGGATGAAGTTGGACATAAAACATGGAATGTAAAACAATTTACCTTAAGAGGGACATTGTAGAACAAGAACTCGAACTTCCCAGCAACTTCAGTAATCGTATCAAACGGAACCGAACCCCTAGCCAAATCTTTCAAGAACAGTATAACATCAGAGATCACCTCAACTCCGTTCAGCTCTAGCGTTGCGTCCGCGTACTCCGACCCTCTAGCTCTCACATGACCTTCATCCAAAGTCACAAAATACCCCAGTTTCTTTCCCCTGTACCCTATCGAGACCATGATCGAGCTGTAATCGATGGCGTAGAAGTCTACGTTGCGGACCTTTATGGTGAGGCCTAATGTGATGTCGACCGAGATGATTGGGATTGTCTGGATGTCGATGCTCTCTAGGTGGAGGTGGGTGATTTTTAGGTCGGGGTTGGAGGGCCAGAGGAAGAAGAAGGCAGCCGCGAGGAGGAGGAAAGCGGAGACGAGGAGGTTGCGGCAGCTTTGATGGAGGTGGAGAGGGATGAGGTGGTGGTGGTAGGAGGGTAGTTGGTGTTGGTTGGCCTTTGAGGAGGCCATGGTTTGTGAAAAAGGGTTTGAGTGTTTTGGTTGGAGATATACAGGAGGGAAGTTGGCAGGGAGTGTATTGGTAAGGTGGGAGGAAAGTGAGGTAGGCCCAAGTTTGTGGATGTGGGGTTTAGTAAGTGATTTGTGTGTTTGCTTGCTCTTGGCTGTTTTGTTTTGGTTTGGATAACCAATTATGGGAGTCCTTCATGCATTGTGATTTTTTCAATTTTATTATATTATTATACTGTAAATTTAATAATTTTTTTAATTTAAAATAATTATAAATTTATATTATTTTATAATTATTAGTTATGTAATGAACAATCCTGCTGCATACCCCCAGTGGGGGTCGCACCCCAGTGAAGTGTCGCGCCCCCACTGGCCGAAACCCAAAAAAAAAAAAAAAAAAAACAGTTTTTTTTTTGTCCAATTATGAACTGCCATCTCACTGGGGGTCGACCCCCAGTGGGTGTATGAGCCATTTTCCTGTAATGAATATCCTCTATTGGAAGCATGCAATATGTAATGGAGAGAATGAAAATCCATTTTTGATGATCTCTCCCAATGCAAAAATTACCACATAGTTGAGATAGATTTTATTCAATAATATTTGGGTGAATTACACTAACAGTTTCTATAGTTTGGAACTGCTGTCACTTTGATCCTTGACTTTTCAATTGTGACACATTTGATCCTAAATTTTGAATCTTGTTCCAAATAAGGACAATTGAAGATTCTATTGCTTAATTTCAAGGGCAAAATCGTCAATTTGATAAATATAAACTAATTTGACAAAAATAAATGTCAAAAAAATAATTTTAAAATTATTTTTACTCATCAAAGATAAAATTATGTAAAATTAATAAATCTTTTAAACATTTATTTATTTATTTATTTTACCAAATTAATTTTTATTATATATTTGGATGATGATCATCTAATGGGTAATCGATATATTTAATATATGAAATATTTTTTGTTTTGAATTTTTTGATTTAATGGATTGGTTTAATAATGATATCAAAGTTGTTGTCATATTTGACTTTTAAAAAAATAAAAACTAATTTAATGAAAACAAAAATAACTACCATCACATGATTATTATCCAAACACATAATAAAAATTAATTTAGTTAAAATAAATAAATAATGTCTAAAATATTTATCAATTTTACAAAATTTTATCTTTAGTGGGTAGAAATAATTTTTAAAAATTCAAAAATATTTTTTTGAAATTTATTTTTGTTAAATTAGTTTATATTTTATCAAATTGACATTTTTGCCCTTGAAAAATCCAATGGTATCATCGATTGTCCTTATTTGGAACAATATTCAAAATTCAGGATCAAATGTGTCACAATTGAAAAGTCATTGTCCAAAATGACACAAGCCCAAAACTATAGGGACCGTTAGTGTAATTCACCCATGATATTTTGTTATTTCTATACTATTTTTTATTTTTACTTTCGGAACCATGTAATTATTTATGATGTTGTTATTAGTTGGGTAAATATGAAATTCTTTTATAGAAAATTAAAAATAAAATTGATAATTACTCCTAATAATAAGATGATATCATTAAAAAATCAATCATTTAAGACTCAACCTCTACCACAGGTCATGAAACTGATTTGATGGCTCGAAATCATTTTTTTTTTCTTTTTTTTTTGGGTTGATTACTTACCAACTTTGGTGTAGTGTTAACAAATGATTGTACTTATTTTTTTGTGCCAACCTAGTAGGGATGGTTTAGCTCTTTTTTTTTTTTTTTTAAT